CCCCGCGACCCGGCAACGGATAAAGCGGAAGAAAATGGATGGATGGATGAAATGAATTGTGAGTTAACTCAACATTACTCTGCGATTAATCAACTAAAAAATGTATCGTTTGACAGCCCTAATGTTTACATAAACTAGAAGGCTCTAGCTTTAATATGATGCATCACAAACATGTGACGAGTAAGATGTGTTTTAAATAAAGACATTTGGTTTCCCCAAAGTTAGTGCATGAGCCAAAAGGAGGCGGGTGTTAGAGACCAGGACCAACTGAAACTAAAGGGACTAGACCAGGATCTGCTGAGCCCATGGACTAGACCAGGATCTGCTGAGACTACAGGGACTAGACCAGGATCTGCTGAGACTACAGGGACTAGACCAGGTTCTGCTGAGACTACAGGGACTAGACCAGGATCTGCTGAGCCCATGGACTAGACCAGGATCTGCTGAGACTACAGGGACTAGACCAGGATCTGCTGAGACTACAGGGACTAGACCAGGACCAACTGAGACCACAAGAACTAGACCTGGATCTGCAGAGACCACAGGAACTAGATCTGGATTTGCTGAGACCAGGAACTAGATCTGGATTTGCTAAGACCATGGACTTGACCAGGACTGACTGAGTCCACAGGAAATAAACCAGTCTATGTTATTGCAAAATGAGCCTGTACAGGTTTAACATGATTGAACATTTATAATAAAGAAATACTTACATATCTCTCTCTGGTCTCTCTCTGGTCTCTCTCTGGTCTCTCTCCAGTGTGTATCAACCATGGTCTGACAGCGCCCTCTACTGTCTCTCTGCTGTAAACGCACACACGCGCCTCTGAAGCGTCCTGCAGGGGTCGCTGTCTCTCCATCAGTCCTGAGAGCAGACTGCGCATGCTCAGAGCGTGCAGGGGACCAGTAGTCAGCGGCGGCCTTTTGTGTCTCTCTCCTCCCGGAGCTCCCGGAGGATGCTCGGAGCAGTCTCGTGAACAGACCCAGACACTGCGGAGGTGTGAGGCCGGGGATGAGGGGCCGCGGTCCGGGCTCAGCTGCATCACTGCCCCCGGGGAGAGCTCCAGGGGCCTGAGCCGCAGCACACGCCCCCAGAGCAGGACAGGAGCCGGTAGGACTGTGTGGGGTCCGTGGGGGGTCCGTGGGGGGGAGGGGGTGTGAAGGACCCGCATGACATCAGCCTCATTATTAGTTAAACATATCAATGTGTTAAAACATTTCTGTGGTTATCTGTGACTCATTTGAATATATTTTTTATCGATATCTCTCAGATTTGTGATGAACTTTTATTTGAATATTTATTTATCAAAACTATAAATTCTGTTCGATTAGATCTGAATCAGTTTGTTACATTTATTTATGTGTAACACAGACAAACACAATCATTCACTCTATTAGGAACAAGGAGAACATGCAAACACCACAGTAAGACACTAATTGTGTGCTTGTCTGTGTGTGTGTGTGTGTGTGTCTGTGTGTGTATGACTGAGTGTGTGTATGGACATGATATGTGTGTGTGTATATCTGTGTGTGTGAGTATGACTGTGTATGTCTGTGTGTGTGTATGACATATCTGTGTGTGTGTGTATGTCTGAGTGTGTCTGTGTGTGTGTATGACATGTGTGTTATGTCTGTGTGTGTGTACACTGTGTGACAGAGAGAGTATGACATGTACTGAGTATGTTGTTTTGTGTATCACTTCTTTTCTCTCCTCGTTTGTTGTGAGAGAGGATACACCAACACAGTATAGGACATACACACACAGTGGTACACACAAAAGTCTATACACACACAATCATACACACACCCCAGGACAAACACACACACAGTCATACACACACACAGACACACACAGACATACACACACACACAGATATACACACACAGTCATACACACACACAGACATACACAGTCATACACACACACACAGATATACACACACACAGACATACACAGTCATACACACACACACAGTCATACACACACAGACACACACACACACACACACAGACAAGCACACAATTAGTGTCTTACTGTGGTGTTTGCATGTTCTCCTTGTTCCTAATAGAGTGAATGATTGTGTTTGTCTGTGTTACACATAAATAAATGTAACAAACTGATTCAGATCTAATCGAACAGAATTTATAGTTTGATAAATAAATATTCAAATAAAAGTTCATCACAAATCTGAGAGATATCGATAAAAAATATATTCAAATGAGTCACAGATAACCACAGAAATGTTTTAACACATTGATATGTTTAAACTAATAATGAGGCTGATGTCATGCGGGTCCTTCACACCCCCTCCCCCCCACGGACCCCCCACGGACCCCACACAGTCCTACCGGCTCCTGTCCTGCTCTGGGGGCGTGTGCTGCGGCTCAGGCCCTGGAGCTCTCCCCGGGGGCAGTGATGCAGCTGAGTGCCCGGACCGCGGCCCCTCATCCCCGGCCTCACACCTCCGCAGTGTCTGGGTCTGTTCACGAGACTGCTCCGAGCATCCTCCGGGAGCTCCGGGAGGAGAGAGACACAAAAGGCCGCCGCTGACTACTGGTCCCCTGCACGCTCTGAGCATGCGCAGTCTGCTCTCAGGACTGATGGAGAGACAGCGACCCCTGCAGGACGCTTCAGAGGCGCGTGTGTGCGTTTACAGCAGAGAGACAGTAGAGGGCGCTGTCAGACCATGGTTGATACACACTGGAGAGAGACCAGAGAGAGACCCAGAGAGAGACCAGAGAGAGATATGTAAGTATTTCTTTATTATAAATGTTCAATCATGTTAAACCTGTACAGGCTCATTTTGCAATAACATAGACTGGTTTATTTCCTGTGGACTCAGTCAGTCCTGGTCAAGTCCATGGTCTTAGCAAATCCAGATCTAGTTCCTGGTCTCAGCAAATCCAGATCTAGTTCCTGTGGTCTCTGCAGATCCAGGTCTAGTTCTTGTGGTCTCAGTTGGTCCTGGTCTAGTCCCTGTAGTCTCAGCAGATCCTGGTCTAGTCCCTGTAGTCTCAGCAGATCCTGGTCTAGTCCATGGGGCTCAGCAGATCCTGGTCTAGTCCCTGTAGTCTCAGCAGAACCTGGTCTAGTCCCTGTAGTCTCAGCAGATCCTGGTCTAGTCCCTGTAGTCTCAGCAGATCCTGGTCTAGTCCATGGGCTCAGCAGATCCTGGTCTAGTCCCTTTAGTTTCAGTTGGTCCTGGTCTCTAACACCCGCCTCCTTTTGGCTCATGCACTAACTTTGGGGAAACCAAATGTCTTTATTTAAAACACATCTTACTCGTCACATGTTTGTGATGCATCATATTAAAAGCTAGAGCCTTCTAGTTTTATGTAAACATTAGGGCTGTCAAACGATACATTTTTTTAGTTGATTAATCGCAGAGTAATGTTGAGTTAACTCACAATTCATTTCATCCATCCATCCATTTTCTTCCGCTTTATCCGTTGCCGGGTCGCGGGGGCAGCAGTCTAAGCAGAGATGCCCAGACTTCCCTATCCACACACACTTCCTCCAGCTCGTCCGGGGGGACCCTAAGGCGTTCCCAGTTCAGCTGAGAGACATAGTCCCTCTGTGTCCTGGGTCTTCCCCGAGCCACCTCAACTGGTGTATCTTGACTTGGAGAAGCAGCGGCTCTACTCCGAGCTCCTCCCGTGTGACCGCACTCCTCAACCTATCTCTAAGGGAGCGCCCAGCCACTCTGCGGAGGAAGCTCATTTCGACCGCTTGTATCCGCGATCTCGTTCTTTCGGTCATTACCCAAAGCTCATGACCAGAGGTGAGGGAGGGGACGAAGATTGACCGGTAAATTGAGAGCTTTGCCTTTCGGCTCAGCTCCCTCTTCACCACAACGGTCCGATACAGCGACCACATCACCGCACACGCTGCACCGATCCGCCTGTCAATCTCACGCTCCATTCTTCCCTCACTCGTGAACAAGACCCCGAGATACTTGAACTCCTCCACTTGAGGAAGGACCTCTCCACCCACCTGCAGAGGGCAAGGCACCTTTTTCCGGTCGAGCACCATGGCCTCGGACTGCCGGCAATGCGAATACAGCTCTGGCTCTGGTCATACAGGGACCGGACGGCCCTCAGCAGAGGACCCCGGACCCATACTCCCGAAGAACCCCCCAAAGAACACCCCGGGGAACACAGTCGAACGCCTTCTCCAAATCCACAAATCACATGTGGACAGGTTGGGCGAACTCCCTTGAACCCTCGAGTATCCGCCTGGAGAGTATAGAGCCAGTGTTCCGCAGGGACCAAAACCACACTGCTCCTCCTGAATCCGAGATTCGACCATCGGCCATGCCTCCCAGTACGGAGTAAACCTTACCAGGGAGGAGTGTGATCCCACATAATTGGAACCTCCGGTCCCCCATCTTATAGAGAGGGACCACCACCCCAGTCTGCCACTCCATTGGCACCGCCCCCGATCGCCACGCGATGTTGCAGAGACGTGTCAGCCAAGACAGTCCCACAACATCCAGAGACTTTAGATAGTCAGGGCAGATCTCATCCACACCCGGCGCCTTGCCACCAAGGAGGCTGCCAACCACCTTGGTGACCCAGTCCTCGCTGCACCTCGCCATAATTTCATTCCACTTCATTTAAAGTTAAAGATTATCAAATGTGATGATTGTCGTTCAGACCAAATGTTCTTGAATCTGTTTGATTCACCTTTTACTTTTGGGGACAACCAACATGAGCTGTTCATGAAAGGGAACATTTACGTACCCCAGCTTTAGACACGGACACTTCCTGAGTTCAGCTTAAGAATTAGGGTGCACATTGCTTTACTGACATTTCATAAAAAAGATTATTTATTTATTTTTTACTTAAATTACTGATCTGTGTGATTTTTTAGTAGTATATAGGGTGTGCGCTGCTCCGACCAGAGTCTCTCTCACTGCCTTTACGCATCATTCTATTGATACTAATGAAAAGAGTCCCCCATGTCGCACCCATTGCTAGAAAGCTTTCCCTATTGGCTACTTAGACCTGTCAATTATCATGCAAAAGAACACTTCCCTAGCCGTCTGGCTAACAACAAGTCCAGACAAACCATGCGCAAAAGGTGTTTGCCTGTTTTATTCCCAGGGCTGTTGCAGACGGACTCGAGCGCAGATCTCCTCAGAGAAGCTCTCATTTTGTAGCTAACGAGTTGGAGAACGCGAGCTTACCCTGGGTTTGGAAGATAAACAAAGCTGAAAGTCCGCTAACAGAGAAAGAGCAGCCTCTGTGTTCTTTCAGAACGTTTTTTTTTGCAAAAGATAAACACACATTTTTCAATTTTTTTTTCAAACTTTGGAAAATACAAGTGGATATTCTTTTTCCATGGACATTTACGGAGTGAAAGAGCCATAGCAAGGATGAGGGAAGTCTGATGTATTCATGCAGCAAAAGAGCAAAAGAAAAAGAGCAAAGGTAAAAACGTATTCAGAAGTGATTTATTTTGTGCCCACATTATGTGCTATATCTCTGTAATGCAAAGTCTGATATTGTTTACACTTGTATATAAATGTAGATAAGAAAATAAGATTTACAATGACATCCCACTTGTGGGGTTCATGATACATCTGCTATTGTCAGCAGAACATTTTTAAAATAAAAATCACCCGAGGGCGGGTGGGTGTTGATCTCAGCAGATCCTGGTCTAGTCCATGGTCTCAGCAGATCCCGGTCTTGACCCTGGTCTCAATTGGTCCAGGCGTAGTCCAAGAGTCCGTTCTCCTCCCAAAGCCGACAGCGTGACATCACAGTCGAGTCGTTTTGGACCAAAGTAAAATTCTGAGAGATTAGAGCGAGACCGGAAGGAAACGAGGGCCACTGCTCCTCCATCCGCCCTGAGGAGAGGGTTAAAGCTCAGGTCTGTAAGTTTAGACTAAATAACACATGTTTAAAGCTGGGGCAGTGTAGAGTAGAGTATACGGTAGGGTAGAGTAGAGTTGAGTAGGGTAGGGTAGGGCAGGGTAGAATAGAATAGAATAGAGTAGGGTAGGGTAGAGTAGGATAGCATAGGGTAGAGTAGAGTAGGATTGGGTAGAGTAGAGTAGGGTAGGGTAGGGTAGGGTAGAGTAGAGTAGAGTAGAGTAGAGTAGAGTAGGGTAGAGTAGGGTAGAGTAGAGTAGGATTGGGTAGAGTAGAGTAGAGTAGGGTAGAGTAGAGTAGAGTAGAGTAGAGTAGAGTAGAGTAGGGTAGGGTAGGGTAGGGTAGGGTAGAGTAGAGTAGGGGTAGAGTAGGGTATAGTCGAGTAAGGTAGAGTAGAGTAGAGTAGAGTAGAGTAGAGTAGGGGTAGAGTAGGGTATAGTCGAGTAAGGTAGAGTAGAGTAGAGTAGAGTAGAGTAGGGTAGAGTAGGGTAGAGTAGAGTAGAGTAGAGTAGAGTAGAGTAGGGTAGAGTAGAGTAGAGTAGGGTAGGGTAGAGTAGAGTAGAGTAGGGTAGAGTAGAGTAGAGTAGGGTAGGGTAGAGTAGGGTAGGGTAGGGTAGAGTAGAGTAGAGTAAGTTAGAGTAGAGTAGAGTAGGGTAGGATAGAGTAGAGTAGGGTAAGGTAGAGTAGAGTAGGGTAGGATAGAGTAGAGTAAGGTAGAGTAGAGTAGAGTAGACTAGAATAGGGTAGAGTAGAGTACAGTAGGGTATAGTCGAGTAAGGTAGGGTAGAGTAGAGTAGAGTAGCGTAGGGAAGGGTAGAGTAAAATAGGGTAGAGTAGATTAGAGTAGGATAGAGTAGAGTAGAGAAGAGTAGAGTAGGGTAGGGTAGAATAGAGTAGAATAGAATAGAGTAGGGTAGGGTAGAGTAGGGTAGGATAGGGTAGAGTAGAGCAGGGTAGAGTAGAGTAGGGTAGGGTAGAGTAGAGTAGAGTAGAGTAGAGTAGAGTAGAGCAGGGTAGAGTAGAGGAGAGTAGGATAGAGTAGAGTAGAGTAGAGTAGAGCAGAGCAGGGTAGAGTAGAGTAGAGTAGAGTAGAGCAGGGTAGAGTAGAGTAGAGTAGGGTAGAGTAGAATAGAGTAGAGTAGAACAGGGTAGGGTAGAGTAGAGTAGAGTAGAGCAGGGTAGGGTAGGGTAGGGTAGAGTAGAGTAGAGTAGAGTAGGGTAGGGTAGAGTAGAGTAGAGTAGAGCAGGGTAGGGCAGGGTAGGGTAGAGTAGAGTAGAGTAGAGTAGAGTAGAGCAGGGTAGAGTAGAGTAGAGTAGGGTAGAGTAGAGTAGAGTAGAGCAGGGTAGGGTAAAGTAGAGTAGGGTAGAGTAGAGTAGAGTAGGGTAGAGTAGAGTAGGGTAGGGTAGGGTAGAGTATGGTAGTGTAGGGTAGAGTAGAGTAGGGTAGAGTAGAGTAGAGCAGGGTAGGGTAGAGTAGAGTAGGGTAGAGTAGAGTAGAGTAGAGTAGGGTAGGGTAGGGTAGAGTATGGTAGGGTAGGGTAGAGTAGAGTAGGGTAGAGTAGAGTAGGGTAAGGTAGAGTAGAGTAGAGTAAGTTAGAGTAGAGTAGAGTAGGGTAGGGTAGAGTAGAGTAAGGTAGAGTAGAGTAGGGTAAGGTAGGGTAGGGTAGAGAAGAATAGAGTAGAGTACAGTAGAATTGGGTAGAGTAGGGTAGGGTAGAATTGGGTAGGGTAGAGTAGAGTAGAGTAGAGCAGGGTAGAGTAGGGTATAGTAGAGTAGAATAGAGTAGAGCAGGGTAGAGTAGGGTATAGTAGAGTAGAATAGAGTAGAGCAGGGTAGAGTAGGGTATAGTAGAGTAGAGTAGAGTAGGGTAGAGTAGACTAGAGTACCGTGTCTGATGAAGTGGAGGAAGTGGTGCTGGAGCAGGTCCTGGAAGCCCTGGTCCTCGGGGGTCAGAGGAGCCCCTAGCAGCGGCTCCAGGCCCTGGAAGAAGGCCACAGAGTCTAGGCAGTGGAAGGAGAAGCGACTGGGGAAGGGCAGGAGCGGGGGAGAGGGGGAGATGGCCCGGGAGGGAGTGTGGGTCACCAGGTACCGGTACACTGGACTATGAAGGGCCTCTGAGAGAGGGAGAGGGGGTTGAGAGAGGGAGAGCGAGAGAGGGGACATGTAAGGACAGATTTATAGCTTAAGTCATGGGTCTACAGCCTCAGTACTGGGTCTACAGCCTCAGTCCTGGGTCTACAGCCTCAGTCCTGGGTCTACAGCCTCAGTCCTGGGTCTACAGCCTCAGTCCTGGGTCTACAGCCTCAGTCCTGGGTCTGCAGTCGTACCGGAAGCCCTCCTGGCCAGTTCGTTGAGGGGGCAGCTCACTCGCAGGTCGGAGGTCATGGTGGTGTAGGCTCTCTCGGGACAGCGGTCAGTGGTGGGACAGGGGGCGTCTGGGGGGTACAGGTCCAGAGCGTCCCGGGACAGAGAGGAGCTGAAGGAGGACAGCTTCTCTGAGGACAGACAGATGAGACATGGGGTGTTAGAAAGACCCAGAGTCCAGACCCAAGGCTGGTTCTGGTCCTGGCTCAATCCTTCTCCTGGGTTTAGGGAGGGAAGTTGGGGGCAAAGTCCTGACAATGGTGTATGTCCTGGTCTCAGTCCTGGTCTCAGTCCTGGTCTCAGTCCTGGTCTCAGTCCTGGTCTCAGTCCTGGTCTCAGTCCTGGTCTCAGTCCTGGTGTCAGTCCTGGTCTCAGTCCTGGTCTCAGTCCTGGTCTCAGTCCTGGTCTCAGTCCTGGTCTCAGTCCTGGTCTCCGTCCTGGTCTCCGTCCAGGTCTCCATCCAGGTCTCTATCCATGGTGTCTGTCTGGGTCTCTGCCTTGATCTCTGTCCTGGTCTCAGCTCTGTCCTGGTCTCAGTCCTGGTCTTTGTCAGGGTCTCCATCTGGGTCGCTGCTCTGGTCCTGGTCTCAGTCCTGGTCTCAGTCCTGGTCTCGGTCTCAGTCCTGGTCTTCGTCCAGGTCTCTATCAGGGTGTCCGTCTGGGTCTCTGCATTGGTCTCTGTCCTGGTCTCAGCTCTGTCCTGGTCTCAGTCCTGGTCTCTGTCAGGGTCTCTGCTCTGGTCCTGGTCTCAGTCCTGGTCTAAGTCTCTCACCGGTTACAGCCCAGCGGTAGTCGTCCCAGGTCCAGAGGGAGATGTTGGGGGAGGAGGGGGCGAAGTCGACCTCTTGCTCCGTGGATCCAATCACAAACGGGACGTCGCTGTAGCCGCGGCCGCCCCGCTCCCACACAGACAGAGGCGGCTCGGGCAGGACATACCCATCCACCACGGCGACCGGCCCGGGCAGCACGCCACGGGACGGGAGGTCCACGCCATCATCAAAGGCCCAGCTCGGGTACTGCTGCCACGGGATGGCCTGAGGAGAGAGAGGGGGAGAGGTCTCTCTCTGGTCTCTCTCTGGTCTCCTCTGGTCTCCTCTGGTCTCCTATGGTCACCTCTGGTCTCTCTCTCTGGTCTCTCTCTCTGGTCTCTCTCTCTGGTCTCTCTCTCTGGTCTCTCTCTCTGGTCTCTCTCTGGTCTCTCTCTGGTCTCTCTCTGGTCTCTCTCTGGTCTCTCTCTGGTCTCTCTCTGGTCTCTCTCTGGTCTCTCTCTGGTCTCTCTCTGGTCTCTCTCTGGTCTCTCTCTGGTCTCTCTCTGGTCTCTCTCTGGTCTTTCTCTGGTCTCTCTCTCTGGTCTCTATCTGGTCTCTATCTGGTCTCTCTCTGGTCTCTCTCTCTGGTCTCCCTCTGGTCTCCCTCTGGTCTCTCTTGGTGTATGTGGTAACCTGGAGCACCTGTTTAGTCTGGGTCTGATCCTAGTCTGGGTCTGGTCTGAGTCTAGGGGTGCTTTCACACCTGCACCATTTAGTCCACTTAAAGCGGACTGGAGTCTGGAACACCTGCAAGTACGGTTCGTTTGAGCAGGTGTGAAAGTGGACCAGATAAATTTGGTCCGGACTAAAGAACCGCACCGAGACCACCATATGGAGCTGGTCTCGGTGCGGTTCCATGTGGACTCCAGTCTGGTTCACTGCTGATGAGAACGCAGACCGGCCTCAATGTGGCCCTGCTCTGTTGTGTAGCTCACTTTTTGACACACACATTGTTTTTTTATATGATAGAATCGTCAAAAACACCCGCAGATTGTTCTCGTGCTGAATCCGCGATACATACTGGAACAACAGTATTTGTGCTGCACAAAGCAACGATGATAAAAAACAGCCAAAAAACGCAGAGTAGCACAGTCACATACGTCATCCAATACACAGTATTTTGTGAACAGCGCCACCACATGGGTGGTGGGAATATGTAACATCTACAGTGGTTGGTTCATTTGCAAAAACATTGGTGTGAATGAGAACCGAACTAGTTGAGAACTGCAACATTGTAACAACTTTAGGGCCCAAGCGAACCACTTTACTGTACCAAAAGGTGTGAAAGCACCCTAAGTCTAGTGTGGATGTAGTTTGCTTTTATCACTAGTTTTCATCATATGTTCTTAGATCAGCTCTCAGCCAATCAGCTCTCAGCCAATCAGCTCTCAGCCAATCAGCTCTGAGCCAATCAGCTCTCAACCAATCAGCTCTCAGCCAATCAGCTCTCAGCCAATCAGCTCTCAGCCAATCAGCTCTGAGCTCAAAGTCCTATTGTGGCTCACAGGGCTCGTTCCTACACAAAGGTACCATATTTCTCTCTCCCCTGAACTCCTTTTCTCCTTTTATGACATTAATTATTAAAATACATTTCCGATTCTCGATCCACATCTGTTTTTACGAGCGCCAGGTTGGGTGGAATATTTACAGTCGCAGATAAAAGCAGAGTGCAGCATAAATCTGGCAACCAACGCCGTAATGAGGAAGTTTATGAGAACGGAGACGGAGAGAAGATTCCACTGAGAGACATCGGGAGAACATGCAAACACAGACTGTCTACATTCCCTCTCTGGTCTCTCTCTCTGGTCCCTCTATAGTCTCTCTCCCTGGTCTCTCTCTGGTCTCTCTCTGGTCCCTTTGGTCTCTCTCTCTGGTCTCTCTCTGATCTCATGGTCTCTCTCTGGACTCTCTCTGGTCCCTCTGGTCTCCCTCTGGTCTCTCTCAGTCTCTCTCTGGTCCCCCTGGTCTCTCTCTGGTCTCTCTGGTCCCTCTGGTCTCTCTCTGGTCTCTCTCTCCTCCCTCGCTGGTCTCTCTCTCTGGTCTCTCTCTGGTCTCCCTGGTCCCTCTGGTCCCTCTGGTCTCTCTCTGGTCTCTCTCTCCTCCCTCGCTGGTCTCTCTCTCTGGTCTCTCTCTGGTCTCCCTGGTCTCTTTCTGGTCTCTCTCTGGTCTCTCTGGTCCCTCTCTGGTCTCTCTCTGATCTCTCTCTGGTCTCCTTCTGGTCCCTCTGTGTGGTTACCTGTAGCACCTGTTGCACTGTCAGCCTCCGCAGACAGGTGGCGCTGCTGCAGCCTGTTCTGTTGAGGAACAGCAGGTTGTCCCTCTCTGCTTCCTGTAGCGTCGCTCGGAGCACGTACGAGCCGCTCATGTCCACAGCGGCTCTGAACAGACCTTTGGCGCGCGGTGATGACATCAGAGCCCAGACCGAGGTCCCACCTGGAGGAGGAAGAGGAGGAGGAAGAGGATGAGGACGAAGAGGAGGAGGAGGAGTAAGAGGAGGAGGAAGAGGAGGAGGAAGAGGATGAGGACGAAGAGGAGGAGGAGGAGGAAGAGGAGGAGGTTTTAGAGCCCACTCTTTGCTCTCTCCCTGGTTTTTCTCTGGTCTCGCTCTGGTCTCGCTCTAGTCTCTCTCTGGTCTCTCCCTGGTTTTTCTCTGGTTTCTCTCTGGTCTCGCTCTGGTCTCTCTCTGGTCTCTCTCTGGTCTCTCTCTGGTCTCTCTCTGGTCTCTCTCTGGTCTCTCTCTGGTCTCTCTCTGGTCTCTCTCTGGTCTCTCTCTGGTCTCTCGCTGGTTTCTCTCTGGTCTCTCTCTGGTCTCTCTCTGGTCTCTCTCTGGTCTCTCTCTGGTCTCTCTCTGGTCTCTCTCTGGTCTCTCTCTGGTCTCTCTCTGGTCTCTCTCTGGTCTCTCGCTGGTTTCTCTCTGGTCTCTCTCTGGTCTCTCTCTGGTCTCTCTCTGGTCTCTCTCTGGTCTCTCTCTGGTCTCTCTCTGGTCTCTCTCTGGTCTCTCTCTGGTCTCTCTCTGGTCTCTCTCTGGTCTCTCGCTGGTTTCTCTCTGGTCTCTCTCTGGTCTCTCTCTGGTCTCTCTCTGGTCTCTCTCTGGTCTCTCTCTGGTCTCTCTCTGGTTTCTCTCTGGTCTCGCTCTAGTCTCTCTCTGCTCTCTCCCTGGTCTCGCTCTGGTCTCTCTCTGGTCGTGTGGAGGAGCATGCATAACTCATGATCTGTTGGTGACACTGCTCGGACGGCGCTTTTTGAGTTAGAGTTCAATGTTAGAGTTAAATGTTAGAGTTCAATGTTAGAGTTCAATGTTAGAGTTTGTGTGTTATTCATGGTTCATCTGTAGTTCCATTATTTCCACTCAGACCCTGTCGGACCAATCACAGCTGCTCCACGGGGGTCACCAACAGCTCACGAGTTATGCATGCTCCTCCACACGACCAGAGCGAGACCAGAGAGACCAGAGAGAGACCAGAGAGACCAGAGAGAGACCAGAGAGACCAGAGAGAGACCAGAGAGAGACCAGAGAGAGACCAGAGAGACCAGAGAGAGACCAGAGAGGGACCAGAGAGACCAGAGAGGGACCAGAGAGACCAGAGAGACCTGAGAGAGACCACAGAGAGACCAGAGAGAGATCAGAGAGACCAGAAAGAGACCAGAGAGAGACCAGAGAGGGACCAGAGAGACCAGAGAGAGACCAGAGAGAGACCAGAGAGGGACCAGAGAGACCAGAGAGAGACCAGAGAGATAGCAGAGAAGGACCAGAGAGAGACCACAGATTAAACAGAGGTTCCTTCAGACTCTCCAGCAGCAGATGGGTCTTACTGGTCATGCCTGTGGAGAGGAGAGCTTCTCTTTATGATTCATACAGAAGGACTTTTTCCCATGAGCTCAATGCAGCCTAACAAGGAAGTGCTCATAGACAGAGTTCCCCCCCCCCCCCCCCCCTCCCCTCTCTGTGGTCTCACCCGAGCTCTGGCCCATGATCGTCACTCGGATCGGGTCTCCCCCAAACCAGTGGATGTTCTTCTGGATCCATTGCAGCGCCAGGATCTGGTCCATGAAACCGTAGTTTCCTGTAGACACGAGAAACTGGGTCGGTACCATCTCAGACGGACTCTCTGGTCTCTCTCTCTGGTCTCTCTCTGGTCTCTCTCGTCTCTCTCTGGTCTCTTTCTGGTCTCTCCCTGGTCTTTCTCTGGTCTCTCTCTGGTCTTTCTCTGGTCTCTCTCTAGTCTCTCTCTGGTCTCTCTCTGGTCTCTCCCTGGTCTCTCTCTGGTCTCTCGCTGGTCTCTCCCTGGTCTCTCTCTGGTCTCTCCCTGTCTCTCCCTGGTCTCTCTCTGGTCTCTCTCTGGTCTCTCCCTGTCTCTCCCTGGTCTCTCTCTGGTCTCTCTCTGGTCTCTCTCTGGTCTCTCTCTGGTCTCGCTCTGGTCTCTCTCTGGTCTCTCTCTGGTCTCTCTCTGGTCTCTCCCTGGTCTCTCTCTCTGGTCTCGCTCTGGTCTCTCTCTGGTCTCTCCTGAAAAAGGACCAGAAAAAGAAATCAGAGAGAGAGACCAGTGAGAGACTTAAAGAGACCAGAAGCAGAGAACACTGCTTCTACCTACCTGAGGTCCTGGTCCTCCATCCGGTCCTGAGGTCCTGGTCCTACCTGAGGTCCCAGTCCTCCCTGAGGCGCTGGTCCTGAGATCCCGGTTTTGTGGTTCTGGTCCTGAGGTCGGGGTCCTACCTGAGGTCCTGGTCCTCCCTGAGGTCCTGGTCCTGAGGTCCCGGTCCTGAGGTCCTGGTCCTGAGGTCCCGGTCCTGAGGTCCTGGTCCTCTCTGAAGTCCCGGTCCTGAGGTCCTGGTCCTACCTGAGGTCCCGATCCTGAGGTCGAGAGGTCCTGAGGTCCTAGTCCTCCCTGAGGTCCCGGTCCTGAGGTCCCGGTCCTACCTGAGCTGTTGGTGGCAGCCCCTTCCCTCAGAGTCTCCAGGGCCATGAACCCAAAGGCGTTGAGTCTGTAGTTGAAGCTGACGAAGACGAGCTGAGAGTCCGCTGCCAGTCGCTCTGAGGGAGAGTACCCGGGCTCCCCCCCACTGAGCATGTGCAGGTACCCCCCATGGACCCAGACCAGCACAGGCAGGAGGGGGGCCGGGGGCAGGGAGGGGGTCCACACATTCAGGAACAGACAGTCCTCATGTCCCAGGACGGTCCCCGAGCGAGAGAGAGGATAGACCTGAGAGAGACCAGAGAGAGACCTGAGGGAGACCAGAGAGAGACCAGAGAGAGACCAGAGAGAGACCATGACCAGAGAGAGACCTGAGGGAGACCAGAGAGAGACCTGAGAGAGACCAGAGAGAGACCTGAGGGAGACCAGGGAGAGACAGGGAGAGACCAGAGAGAGACCAGGGAGAGACCAGCGAGAGACCAGAGAGAGACCTGAGAGAGACCAGAGAGACTTGAGAGAGACCAGAGAGACCTGAGAGAGACCAGAGAGACCTGAGAGAGACCTTGAGACAGACCAGAGAGAGACCAGAGAGAAACCTGAGAGAGACCAGAGAGAGACCTGAGAGAGACCAGAGAGAGACCAGAGAGAGACCAGAGAGAGACCAGAGAGAGACCAGAGAGAGAGACCTGAGAGAGACCAGAGAGAGACCAGAGAGAGAGACCTGAGAGAGACCAGAGAGAGACCAGAGAGACCATAGAGACCTGAGCGAGACCAAAGAGACCAGAGAGAGACCAGAGAGTGACCAGAGAGAGACCTGATAGAGACCTGAGAGAGAGACTGAGAGTGAGACCAGAGTGAGACCAGAGTGAGACCAGAGTGAGACCAGAGAGGGGGCTCACCTGTGCGCACACACTCCGGAAGCGCGTGGCGTCATGCTCTGAGTTGCTGTTACACTCTGCAGCCACAGGGGGCGCCCACCGCAGGTCTCCAACAGGGGGCGCTGCGTACCTCAGGCCTTTGAAGGAGAACGCTCCATCTTTCTGAAAACAACATGAAAGAAAAATCTGGACCTTTATTGATTTAATTTTTTTCTCTTTTTTTCTTTTTTGCAGAGAACATTTTTGAATTGTGTATGTATATATATATGTATGTGTGTAAATATGTGTATATATATATATATATATATATATATATATATATATATATATATATGTATGTGTATGTGTGTATATGTGTATATATATATATTATTTATTTATTTTTGGCTGCAGCTGGGGCATCTTTGTTTTTTTTTTTTTTTTTTTTTTTTTCTTGTTTTGAACTGTCATTGCCATCTGCCATGAGTTGTCAGACCTTGAAATACTGAAAATAAAGACAATTATATTAAAAAAACATAAATAAAGAAAACAAAAGAAAAAGAAAAAACCAAACCAAACCCGAACCAGAAGCTTGGAAATGTGGACCATGGGAGAGACAGACCAGAGAGTGACCATAGAGACCAGAGAAACAAGAGAGAGACCAGAGAGAGACCAGAGAAAGACCAGAGAGACCATAGAGACCTGAGAGAGACCATAGAGACCTGAGAGAGACCAGAGAGAGACGAGACAGAGACCAGAGTGACTGGAGCGAGTTGAGTTTTTTGCACAAAAGTATGCATTTGTTAAAAAAATAAAATAAAAAATAAAAAAGGTTGAGGACACCAGAGGCACTAAAATCCGCTCAAAGCCCCGCCCTCTGAGGTCAGGCTCGTGTGGACTCAGGCTGCAGTACCCCGGGTGGCCTCTAGTCCATAGAATACACACTCACATGCAGGCCCCTGTAGGTCCCACAGGGGGAGCTGAGCCGAGCCGCTCCGGGAGGCAGCGTGGTGGACACATAAGCCAGATAGACGGCCACGGCGAGCAGACCCACCACCGCCACGATCACCAGCACCATGCAGCGGCGAGACACGACCAGCGGGGGGCGCACGTACTGCCGCTGAGGCGCATACTGCTCCTCCTGGTCCTCATCGTCCTGGACCAGGTACCGGTACTCACTCCTCCCAGACGAGACCAGCATATCCTCATCCATCGTGGGGACCAGCAGAGACCAGCAAATACCAGCAGAGACCAGCAGGGACCAGCAGAGACCAAACACTGCAGGATAATAGTATTAGAAAGAACAGAAGGAGCAGAAAGAGACCAGAGAGAGACAAAAGAGAGACCAGAGAGAGAGAGACCAGAGAGAGGGACCAGAGAGGATCAGAGAGAGACCAGAGAGACCAGAGAGGGACCAGAGAGAGACCAGAGAGAGACCAGAGAGGGACCAGAGAGAGACCAGAGAGAGACCAGAGAGGGATCAGAGAGGGACCAGAGAGAGACCAGAGAGAGACCAAAGAGGGACCAGAGAGGGACCAGAAAGAGACCAGAGAGAGACCAGAAAGACCATACCAGAGAGTGAGAGAGTGTATACTTTATGTGCAGAACCATTATTGCTCTAATCTCAAACACAATCTCCACATTTGTGTCGCTCTGAAACCTTCCAAACCAAACATTAGACTTTCCCAAAGGTTTATGGGAGGATTTTCTACTTCCGGGTGGATCATGGAGACGATTGGTCCTTTCTGGTGATTCGTGCTCGTCCAATAAGACCAGAGAGTGTGGTTTTGGAAAATCCCTCTTTAAACATTTGAGTGCGGCTCCGGGCTCCACAGGAAGTATGGCCCCGGAGCAAGACACTTCCTCTGACCCTGAAGAATCTAACCACACACTCTGCAGACGGGTCCTCTGCACCGACACACACAGGCACACGGACTCTGGACTCACCGCCAGCTCCGGGCTCGTCCTGGTCCACGTGTGAGGTGTCCACTCGTTCTGGTCTGAAGAGCAAAGTCCGGTCTGTTTGGGAGACTCCCCTCTGGTCACGTACAGAGGCAGGGCCGGACAGGACAGGATCAGGGGCCAGGGGTACAGGGGGACCGGGGGCCCCATAGAGAGACCAGAGAGAGACCAGAGAGAGACTAGAGAGAGAACAGAGAGAGACCAGAGAGAGACCACAGAGAGTTTATTTCTGGCTTGAATGTTACGTAACGTTCAGAAAGTTGCAGTGTTAACTTCCTGTGTCACGCTCTGGTTACAGTAACTCTCCCTGAACTTCAGAGCCCAGAGAAAGACCAGAGAGAGACCAGAGAGAGACCAGAGAGAGACCAGAGAGAGACCAGAGAGAGACCAGAGAGAGACCAGAGAGAGACCAGAGAGAGACCAGAGAGAGGCCAGAGAGAGACCAGGGAGAGACCAGGGAGAGACCAGGGAAAGACCAGAGAGAGACCAGAGAGAGCAGAGAGAGAGACCAGAAAGTGATGAGAGTTGTATTTGTTTAATGCTTTGAAAGTTCCATACCTTAGCTTTAAATTTTCTGCATTGTGCAGAACGAGGTCGTGTTTACATCCTGTGTAAACACAGGCCCCTCCCCCCAGGGAACAGAGAGAGACCAGAGAGAGACCACAGAGAGAGACCACAGAGAGAGACCACAGAGAGAGACCACAGAGAGAGAGCCCAGCCCCTCTCTCTCCTCCTCTCACACCATATCCACAGACATTCTTCACCGCTGTTATTAGTGATCGCGGTGCTGCACAATGATAATTAGCGCCTGTGTGAGTGGAATTTGCCTGAAAGGTGAAAGTGTAAGTGTTTAAAGCGTCTGTGTCGCGGAGACGGTGACAGTTCAAACTGAAGGAGACTCCACAAAGTCTCTGCGAGGGTCTCTCTGTGTCTGAGAGAACACAGAGGAGGTGGTGGAGCTGGTCCGGCTGATGAGGTGGTGGAGGGGAGGAGGAGGGTTGCTGCACGAAAGAAAGCTTTCAGCTCTATACTCTCTATAGTCTCTCTCTCTCTCTCTCTGGTCTCTCCCTTTGGCCTCTCTCTCTGATCTTTCTCTCTGGTCTCTCTCTGGTCTGAATCTGAGAGCCCACATGCATCATCACTGTACCTGTGGGGTATTTTAAAATAATAAATGATGTAGGTATTGTATCTTAAACCAGTGTGTAAACATGTCCCTTCATTCTGGAATATTCCCAAAGGCCCTGAAAACGGCAGTCATCAGGCCTCTCCTAAGAAAAAGCAGTCTGGATGCTACGGTACTTAACAACTATCGTCCCATCTCAAATCTGCCATTTATGGGGAAAGTCCTTGAGAAAGTTGTCTACCAACAGCTTACTAGATTTCTTATAATCAACAACTCATTTGATATGTTTCAGTCCGACTTTAGACCCCACCACAGCACTGAGACTGCTCTCGTCAAGGTTACAAACGATATCCGGCTGAACACTGACGCAGGCCAAGTCTCAATCTTAATCCTGTTAGATCTAAGTGCTGCCTTTGACACTGTCGACCATGAGATCCTCTTACAGAGACTAGAGGACTGGGTTGGCGTCGCTGGCACCGCCCTAAGTTGGTTTGGGTCTTACCTTGAGGACAGGAAGTACTTTGTGGAGATTGGAAACTGTGTCTCAGATCATATGGCCCTGACCTGTGGAGTACCACAGGGGTCGATCCTGGGACCTCTTCTGTTCAATCTCTACATGCTGCCGTTAGGTCAGTTAATACGCAGAAACAAAGTGTCCTATCACAACTATTCAGACGACACTCAGATCTATGTCTCACTGACTGCAGGAGAACATGGACCAGTGGACTCACTCCTTCACTGTATCCAACAGATCAGTGAGTGGATGCAAAACAACTTCCTTCAGCTAAACGCAGACAAAACTGAAATGATTGTCTTTGGTCCCCAGAAACAAAGAGAGAGCGTCATCTGTCACCTACAGTCTCTCTCCCTAAAACCTTCAAACAAGGTCAGAAATCTAGGGGTAATACTGGACTCAGTTTCATTTACATGGACTCATCAACAATCATAAGGAAATGCTAAAAGTATCAAATAAATAAACATTATCCAGCTCTAAAATTGACAAAATAGTAATTAACTTAAAGCTAATCAGGCTAAAACAAAATTGACCTGTAATATTAATGAATTCAACCAGTTTTCGACTAGTTTTGAATGCATCTTGGCACAAGCTGCGCGCGGCTACTAAAAGTTTTTTTTTTCTCTGGGCTTTTTCCGCCATTCCTCGTAATAATTCGTAATAATTCTTGATACATATGAGAACAAATCAATAATAAAATCTGTATATAACAACACAACATTCTATCACTTTTTTTGTGTTATCGTGGAACAAGATAACACAAAAAAATAAGTAATACCATATTAGAAAGGTCTATCAATAAATGATAACCCAAAAACAACCATTGTGTTGATTAGAAAATAAAACAAAATGGCAACAATACAACAGACATGAAGACAGGGATCTTCTGGCATCCAAGATTTGCCACAAATTGCCAATTATGTTTGTTTTTAGGCCACTTATAGTATACCTGATGTGGCCCACATCTGGCTGACATCTGCTTCATCCACCATTTTTCATTTACAGAACTGCCACATATTTACCACATGTGGCCCATGTTTGATTTGCTATATTTGGGCCACATATAGTGTGCCTGATGTGGCCCACATCTGGCTGACATCTGGTTCATTTGGGCCGTAACAATGCCATGTGACCCACATGTTTGCCACATGTGGCCCACATCCGCTTGCTATCTGGGTAATGCTTTCTTATTTTGTTCAGCACTTTGAAATGCCTTGTGTATGAATTGTGCTATACAAATAAACTTGCCTTGCGATTTACTGATGAAGTTGGCTGAATGATGACTGCTTATATGTATGGAGTGTCTGCTTCATCTGTGTCTTCAGCTTTAGTTATTTACCTTTTTATAAATCATTGTCTTACTTTTATTTAGCTCCAACATGAAACTCAAGAATCGAGCAAACACACAAACAATAGAAGTGGTTTTATTTAGTATTAGAGTAAAAGAATTTAGAGTAAAATCTTGTCTCATATTTTCAATAACATTTCCAATAAACCCCAACCCTGTCGCACAAATCACAGATAGAATATAATGTTGTAGAAACTGGAAAAATTACTTGATTTAAATGTTTCTGAGTCTACGTTAGCATTATCCATCTGTATACAGTCAATGTTAGCATTAGCATCAGTATACAGTCAGTGTTAGCATTAGCATCTGTATACAGTCTGTGTTAGCATTAACATCTGTATACAGTCTGTGTTAGCTATATCCATCTGTATAGTCTGTGTTAGCATTAACATCTGTATACAGTCTGTGTTAGCATTAGCATCTGTATACAGTCTATGTGGAGATGCTGCCCATAAGATTCCGACACCTGTCCAGTTTCTGTGACATCTCTGAGACCAGCTCTGGGCGAAACTCTGGATTGAACCGGGAGACGAGGTTCATTAGGTCTTGTGTGAGGACCTCCAGCTCCTTGAGACTGCGCCACCTGCTGTTCAAAGATGGAAACCACGCAGCATGTCGCTCCTCCTGCAGCTTCTCCTTCAGGGCGTTCACTCGGTCCTTCAGTCGGATGCTCAGTGCATCCAGCTTTGACACAGCCTGAACAGGACTGGGAAGTTTACATCTGCACCACACCACACATCCAAGAGCCAGGACTAACCCTATCATGGAGAGGACTCCAACCACAGGACTAACCAGGGCCCAGAGGATCAAAGAGACAACTACCAGGACAGGAAGAATACATCCGATTTGTCTCCACTTGCGCAGATGAAGAGCCCAGGTGAGTGTTGTGGTCATCTCCCTCATGTGATCGATGATCGTCAGGATCTCTGTCATCAGTGAGTTTCTGATTTCCACAACAATGTGATCTGCCATCTTTATACCTGCACAGAAAACATCACATTACGTCACACACTCTCTGCAGTCTCACACTTTATTATTCTCCCTTTCATGTGAGCCCCCGTCTGTGGTCGAGGGGCTCAGGGAGCTGTGGTCGAGGGGCCCTGGGGGCTGTGGTCGAGGGGTCCTGGGGGCTGTGGTCGAGGGGTCCTGGGGGCAGTGGTCGAGGGACTCAGGGGGCTGTGGTCAAGTGTAAACACATGTAATGATCTCAAACAGCTCGGTTCATTGTTTTTGTTCTGAAGAGGAGAAGTAGCAGCGTAAATGGGACCGCTTTAGTTTCTCAGGGGGGCCGACAGTAGCTCAGTTGGTAGAGCAATGGTCTTTGGACCTAATGGTCGTAGGTTCGATCCCACCACGACCCATGTCAACTGTTCCCACTGATGTCTGCTGTCGTTGTGTCCCTGGGCAAGACACTTAACCCCAATGTGCCTGAAGTCCCCGCTGAAAGACCAAGGCTGCATCTGTGTGTAAGGGGGAGCCATCCCGTGGACCCACCACCTGCAGGAAGATCAGCAAGGAACTGGTGCTGTGTGAATTGGGTGGCAGTTCTGATTGCCACCCCCCTGACCCAGAAATGGAAAATAAAGGGATGTAAATGAAATTAAATGAAATGAAATAGTTTCTCAGGCAACACCGTGTACGGTGCGGGTGGAGAGCTGCTGACCTCGACTATTGTTGGGCGGTGGAAGGAATACTTTGAGGTTCTCCTCAACCCCCCCGTCACGTCCTCCGTTACAGAGGCAGAGGCTGAGGATGTTGGGGCGGATACATCCATCTCCCTGGCTGAGGTCACCGAGGTGGTTGGCAGCCTCCTTGGTGGCAAGGCGCCGGGAGTGGATGAGATCCGCCCTGACTATCTAAAGTCTCTGGATGTTGTAGGACTGTCTTGGCTGACACGTCTCTGCAACATCGCGTGGCGATCGGGGGCGGTGCCAATAGAGTGGCAGACCGGGGTGGTGGTCCCTCTCTACAAGATAGGGGACCAGAGGGTGTGTTCCAATTATCGTGGGATCAAACTCCTCAGCCTCCCCGGTAAGGTCTACTCCAAGGTACTGGAGAGGAGGCTACGGCCGATGGTCGAATCTCGGATTCAGGAGGAGCAGTGTGGTTTTCGTCCCGGTCGCGGAACACTGGACCAGCTCTATACTCTCCATCGGATACTCGAGGGTTCATGGGAGTTCGCCCAACCTGTCCACATGTGCTTTGTGGATTTGGAGAAGGCGTTTGACCATGTTCCTTTGGGGGGTTCTTCGGGAGTATGTGGTCCGGGGTCCTCTGCTGAGGGCCGTTCGGTCCCTGTATGACCAGAGCCAGAGCTGTGTTCGCATTGCCGGCAGTAAGTCAGACCTGTTCCCGGTGCATGTTGGCCTCTGCCAAGGCTTTCCTTTGTCACCGGTTCTGTTCACTGTGTTTATGGACAGAATTTCTAGGCGCAGCCAGGGGTCGGAGGGGGTCCGGTTCATTGACAGGCGGATCGGTGCAGCGTGTGCGGTGATGTGGTTGCTGTATCGGACCGTTGTGGTAAAGAGGGAGCTGAGCCGAAAGGCAAAGCTCTCGATTTACCGGTCAATCTTCGTTCCCTCCCTCACCTATGGTCATGAGCTTTGGGTAATGACCGAAAGAACAAGATCGCGGATACAAGCGGTCGAAATGAGCTTCCTCCGCAGAGTGGCTGGGCGCTCCCTTAGAGATAGAGTGAGGAGCTCAGTCACACGGGAGGAGCTCGGAGTAGAGCCGCTGCTTCTCCACGTCGAGAGGAACCAGTTGAGGTGGCTCGGGCATCTGTTCCGGATGCCTCCTGGACGCCTTCCTGGGGAGGTGTTCCGGGCACGTCCCACCGGGAGGAGGCCCCGGGGAAGACCCAGGACACGCTGGAGGGACTATGTCTCTCAGCTGGCCTGGGAACGCCTTGGGGTCCCCCCGGACGAGCTGGAGGAAGTGTGTGTGGATAGGGAAGTCTGGGCGTCTCTGCTTAGACTGCTGCCCCCGCGACCCGGCAACGGATGAAGCGGAAGAAAATGGATGGATGGATGGATGGATAGTTGGTGATTTAAAGAAGGGAAAGGTCCGACAGTGTTATGAGCGAGGAGTTGGACTCTGAAGGATAATTGCAGGGGGTGATGATGAATATTCTATAAATCAAGTTTGTGAAGAGGTTTTTCCAATGGTTCATATGTACTGTATGTTACATTGTGGCATTTCCAGTTCACACAGATGCTTTTCTTGGCCATGGTTAGAGCTATCAAGAGTATTTGAAAGTTTATGGCTGTATCAGTGATCATTGATAGATCCCCTAGCAGGCAGAGGGGGGGATGATGGGATGTGGCAGCCCAGCAGAGATGATAGTGACTGTGTGACCTCTTCCCAAAAGTGTTTGATGGGGGTGCAGTTCCAGGTAGTGTGGATGTATGTATCGGGACAGTTCAGTGCAGTGTGGACAAATGTCTGATGTGAAACCCATTTTCACCAGCCTTCTTCTGCTGTAGTGTGTTCTGTGCAGTGTCTTGTGTTGTATTCATTGAATGTTGGCATTTTTGTATGTAGAAGATGTTTTTACAAATCTGGGACCAGGACTTAGCATCGGGAGCCTTTGACAGGTCGTTTTCCCATTTTGTTGATGGCAAACATATCATTCTGTTTAAATTTGAGATTATTTTGTATATTTTAGAGTTTAATTTTCTTGCAGATGAAATGTTGACCAATTCTGATATGGCAGCTGGAGGTTGCAGGTGTGATGATCCAATGTTTATTTTTGTTAAAACTGATTTAAGCTGAAGGTGTTTCTAAAAATGATTGCTCCGTAAGCCAAACTCCTGGGCCAGAACAGAAAACCCTTTAAGTGTGTTTGCATTGAAAATATGGTTAATGTGAGTGATACCCTTTTCCGCCCAGAGTGTCTTTTTATTGCTGGTGAAGTCGGGGTTGTTCCAGAGCGGAGTGAGGTTAGAAGGGCCAAGTGTTGAGTTTGTGATGGTTTGTAAAGCATGTGTGCTGTTTGATAGATTTGGTGAGGAACGGGATGTCGGCTAAATGTAAGTCGTTACAGAATGATTGTTCAATGTCGAGCCATATTGTGTCTGATTGCGTGGGGTGGGTCCATTTGTAAATATATTGTATTTGATTTGCAAGTGAATAATTAAGGAAATGTGGCGCCTCTAAACCGCCATGGCTTTTTTGTTTTTGCAATGTGGTGAGTTGAATCCTTGGAGGTTTGTTTTTCCAGTAGAATGCAGAGATAATTGAGTCAAGTGATTTAAACCAGCTAAGTGTGGGATGTGTTGGAATCATTGAGAGAAGATCATTTATGAAGGACGCTCCTCTTTATAACTGCTATTCTTCTAATTATGGAGAGTGGTCGGTTGAGCCAGCGGAGGAGGTCTTGTTTTATTGTTTTTAATAAGGGTGTAAAGTTTAATGACATCACCTCTGACAGCCTGGGGGAGATTCTTATTCCTATAATACGAGGAGAGCTACGTCCGTGCACTAACTCCTAAAGACTTCTCTCCCGTTCACGCTGCTTCTATTGACGGAAGTAACTGTATTTAAATAAGGAACAGGTGGAAGAGTTTGGGAGCTTCTAACGGGAGCTGATTTGGAACTATACAGTCTGTGGAAGAGGCTTTGAGCTCCGTTTGCCTGACAGAGAGCACAGACACAGACCAGACAGGTACATATTAACTAGTCTAAGGTAAGAACATGTGCCAGTCTGTAAACACGGGGCCTGTTCCTTTAATTAAACCGGTTTGATCTGGGTGAATTACGTGAGATATGATTTCCTCCATTCTGTGGGCTAATGTTTTGATTTTAAGTGAGATTGGGCGGTAATTTGAGGTGAGGGTGTGGTCTTTGTTAGGTTTCGGAGTTAGTGTTATTAAAGCTGTATTCATGTGGGTTGGGTTAGGGTTAGGTACCATTTTGTTTAATGTCAGCGATTGTTCTGGTGAAGATAGAGTTGACCAAAAGTGTCCTGGTGCTTTGGTATTTGTTTTAGTGAGGAGAAGAGTTGTGTTTCTAGGGAGTGCATTTGTTCTTGGTTGAGTTTTGGTAAATGGAGGTTATTGAAACATGTATCAAAATCTTCTTGTTTTGGCTCCAAATTTGACGAGTATAATTTTTTTGCAGTATTCTTGAAATGTCTGATTTCTTGTGGTGAGTTAGTTAGCTTCTCCGAATAATGGTTATTGCAGATTTTTCCTTATTCCTTTTTTTTTGATTTGCTAAATATTTTGCAGATGTGTTGCTGCGGTGAAAGGTGTCATGTCTAAGCCCGTTTATGAGGAACTGATTTTTTTTTTTAGTATTTGATTTATATTTCCTTAATTCCATATTTGTGGTTTCTGATTGTTTGCATTTTTACTTTCTCTTTTATTTTTTCTTCTAAATGCGCTTCCTTCTCCTTTTCCTTTTTTTTTTTATAGACTGAAAATGATATGATTTTCCCCCGTAATACCGCCGGATGTCCACAAAGTTACAAAAGTGAAATATTCAAAGTTGTGTGACTCACCAGGAGGAAAACACCAGATCTCTTTTCTCTGAAATGTTTATGGTCTGTCCTTGAACCTCGTCCACTGAGTTATCAGAGACTTTAATTTCATTGGAAAAGTTGTTTTATTTCTCAGATGGTTCACACCTCCAGTTCTGACTCGTCTGTCCGGTCTCATCGCCATGACAACATTAAATTACATCATAATTGTCCCAAAGAATGTCCCTTACATTCTTTGACTGTACTGTCATTGTGGCTCCCTCTTGTGGCTCATATATATATTACACACATACACACGCACACACACGCACACACACACACACACACACACACACACACACACACACACCTCCATGACATCAGTGAATACAACCGGATAAATAAATAGATAAATGCTAAATAGATTATAAATGATTAGCATGATTATAGCTAAATGACTATAAACTGTTCATATAAAGATGAAAACAAAACAAGAACTTTCTCCTGAAAC